GCAAGAAGAAGAATCTTTTTACCAGCAAATTGGACTTAAATTTGAGGAAGAAACTAGTGAAATGCTACATTTGGAGCATAGCTCTGTATGGGGCTGAAACATGGACACTTAGGGCAGTAGATCAGAAACATCTGGAAAGTTTTGAAATGTGGTGTTGGAGAAGGATGGAGAAGATCAGTTGGACCGATTATGTGAGAAATGAAGAAGTGTTAATTAGAGTCAGTGAGCAGAGGAATAGCCTACACGAAGAAAACGGAAGGCTAATTGGATTGGTCATGTTTTACGCAGAAACTGCCTTCTAAAAGAAGTTATCGAAGGAAAGATAGAGAGGCTGATAGAAGTGACAAGAAGACGTAAGAAGATGCTGGATGACCTTGGGGAGAGAAGAGGATACTGTCATTTGAAGGAGAAAGCTCTACATCGCATTAAGTGGAGGAATTGTTTTGGAAGAGACTGTGGACCTGTCGTCTTGACAGATTACTGATGATGATGATTATTATTTGTTTTCTTCTACTTTGGTGGGCCTTGTTATGATATTATTATATACTTGCTGTTGGTATGTGCTACTTTGTACTTTGGGTAAGAAGTCATGGTACTAAATAATAAATAACTATTGTTATATTGTTATGTATTGTGATGCAAACAACTAAAAATCAGAATTATGAAGTAGAGAATTGCTGTGGAGCTGTCCATTGCCACATAACAGTTTGTTAAAACACATTCTGTGGCAATGTACAAGGGTCAGTCAAAAAGTTCTTGGAATGGTGGTATAGCACTCTAATGGTAGGACATACGGCAAGGCTTACCTAATCACCTTCAAAGTAGGACCCTTGCGTGAACACACACTTGCTCCATTGATCCTACCATTGTTGGAAGCAGTGGTGGAAGGCTGCTTTGGGAATCTTCCAGAGCTCAACTGTCGCATTTGATTTGATGTCCTCCATGGTTGCGAAACATGTCCCCTTGAAGCCCATTTTCAGACTAGGGAACAGCCAAAAGTCACTCGGAGAGAGATCCAGAGAGTATGGTGGGTGAGTGACTACAGGAATGTTTTTCTCAGGGAGGAACTGCGGCACAACAAGCGATGTGTGGCTCGGTGCTTATCATGATGCAGAAACCGCCGTCCCTTCCACTTGTCGTGCCGCTTCCTCCAAAACACATCGCGCAACCTCTGCAAAACTTGCACGTAGAAATGGCCAGTAACAGTACTAACTTTTTGCTCCAACTCCGCGATGGTCATTCTTCGATCACATTGAATCAGTTGTCGCACTTTTCCAATAATTTTTTCGGTTCTAGATGTCAAAGGTCTCCCACTGCGCTGGTCATTGTCTAACGTCTCCTGCCCATCCTTAAACTGGGAAAACCAGTAGTAAACTGCAGATTTCTTTAGTGCAGTATAACTGTAAATTTACTGCAGGACCAATAGCGTCTCTGAAGCAGATTTTCCCAATTTGCACATGCACTTGATGTTCGCACGCTGTTCGAACTGTGACATTGCGCCGAATGACCAACATTCACGTCTAATTCAAATGAAACAGTAACGACACTGCACAATGAAACCTATCTAGACCTGTTGCGCCTGTGAGCAGACATGCTGAGCTTCCCACCACAACAGCGTGGGCCCTATCTTATCGCTTGTTCTCCATCTGCAGGGGAATTCTGGGAACTTTTTGACTGACCTACATATATGCATACAAGAGAAGAAATACTGTTGGGGACAGTATTAGGAATGCCACATAGGACCTCAGTCAGGGTACCTGTTCTTGAGGACCCCCCGAATATGAAGTATGAGCGCCAATCAGTAAGTAACAGATGGAACCAGATATCTGGAAGGGTTGTGGTTGTAATATTTAGAGCATTCATCATTCAACAAATGATAACATGTCTTAATTTCTATAATCTGTCAGAGTTTGAGCCATTCATGTCAAATGAACTGCCTTAAAACGATGTAAAGTATGGTCAAACCACTGCCCCAAAGTCTTTCTGTATATACTGTATGTCATGTCCCTTGTGAACAACTGTTGAAAAAATAACTATTTTAGGTTCAATGACATCAGACACTGGAGAAGCTCTGTCATGTGTGTCCAGGTACTAGTGGTAATAACTGACTGGTCTCCTCCACCAGCAGACTGATATGAGCTAAAAAATACAACATGCAAATGCTATGTGAAGTCAGGCCCTTGTTGCCTTATTCTGTCTTTTACTGGTTTTGTCAATAGTGAATTGATGTACATCCTGTTGTCCTATCTGTTGACCATCTTCACTTGGACACCTCTTGGGGTCCAAGGGGGAATGGCATCATCAAACATAATCCTTGTCAAATTGTGTGAGTTACAGTCTTCAACACACTTGTTCATTTGGTAGTTGGTCAACCCTGATCGAATATTACTTGTAGTCCACAGAGGGGTGGATTTAAGGCTTGTTCTATCAGGTTATTTCCTCCTTGTGTCATTCCAATTTTCAACCTTGGGGTTGTGTTGCTGTCAAGTTTATATAAGTTCTATCTTGCCTTTGTATAAATGTAATTTTCCAGCATTCCTGTTTGTAGTGAATGTCTTGGTCAGTAATGTCTCCTGAGTGAGGACAGGAGATGAAGCTGCATCTTGTATTGCAACATATTACAGTGTCAGTTATTTTTTGACTAGCCTGCTAGACTTAACTGTAGCTATTTGTTGAAAGCACAAAATTCAAATGTACCATCTCTTATTCTGTCTGCAAACTTTCACATTATGTGACGCAAATTCTCTTCTGTTCTCCGAACAGATATGAGACACTTTCAACCAAACAGACATGAGACACAATCAACCAACACAACACAATGTTGATAAATATGGGAACGAAATGACACATGAACAGCTGCAACAATCTCATGAAATGATATAAAGCTACACCATATCTAACTTCTAAGATCTATACTTGTATAGCTATACACCAAATCTACAACTAATTTTCATTATTTCTAACATAAACACTAGAAACAAGCAAAACTAGCCAGAACAGTTTTAAAGGAACATAAAATAACTGCATACATAAAGAACGGATATTTCAAAAGTTTGTACTCTGGTAAATGGGTATATTCTTAATAACCAAGTATTTATTTGGAGATTTCTAACTTCAGAAATGTAACAGATACAATCTGTTTCCAAAAACGTTACACTCTGTAACATTTAAAAAGCAATTAAATCAGGCAGTGAGGTTATGTGCCAGGAATTTAAATGGTAACTGATAAGAATTAATTTCAAGAGTACAATGAAGCTTGCCTTTTGTGTCTATCATGTGAAGCCAACAATGGTTTACTTACTGCTATTGTAAGATGCAGCTTCTTGTTCCAGAAGATTATGAGCTTCAGATTTTAATCTATCAATCTGATCCTTTGACAGCTGTGGGGATTCTCCCTCCTCATCTTGAAACTCAAATAAAAGGAAAACTGAATGCTTCACTTTGATCTCTTTCATTAATGGTGAAAGACAGCATGCAATACAGTGGAGCTGCATCATACGTACACTTAACTTATTTGAATTCAACCATATGTGCTATATATTTGTGTGTGTGTATAAATCCTGCAGGGTATTCCAATTCCTAATACCGCCAAACAGAATTTTTGGGGGGAAGAGGAAGACTAATCATTGGAATGTCCAGGATGAATGGTGAGTGTTCAGGTTTACTGATTTCCTTTTTTTGGTCTTCCATTCTCTGTTGCTCCAATTTTACGTAAATATAAATAAAATTACAGCACACTTTACTTGTATATGTACTCTTTATTTTTTTATTCTACAGAGTGTACACATACATATTATAGGGTATATACAAAAGCATTACTTTATGGGAGATTTAAGGGATTTTCAAGAGTAATCCTGACTATATGCAATTTTGAGTTTTAGAATGTCTTAGAACCATGTTAGGTGGGACCCTGTCACCATGGCACGGGGCATCCTCAGGTTGCAGATGGAGGAGACGCCCTCCAGTTTTGGAGGGAACCTGCGAATATATTGAATAAGCAGTCGCGAACAGCTGACAAGGGGTGGCCCTCCGGCTTGGGGGTTGGGTGTGGGGCTAACAACTCCTCACCATAAAAAATCATTATGTTATGAAAATGAACACAAAGCCTTGGACCTGGATGGATTCTTTAGATAAACGACCTAAGCTAATGAAAATGGATATGAGATTTGGCACTTGGAATGTACGAAGTTTGTATAGGGCAGGTTCGCTCAGGGCAGTGGCAGAAGAAATCTTAAAATATAACTTAGATTTAGTGGGAGTACAGGAGGTCAGGTGGGATGGAGGTGGCATCGCACCAGCAGGAGACTATACAATTATCTAGAGAAAGGGGAAAGAAAATCATGAATTATGTACAGGTTTTTTTGTACATAAGAGAATCGTATCAGCAGTTAAGAGGGTAGAGTTCGTTAGTGATAGGATATAATATATAATACTAAAAGGTCGCTGGTGTGATATCATTGTTATGAATGTTCACGCCCCAACAGAAGATAAGACTGATGACATAAAGGATAAATTCTTTGAATAACTAGAACATGTATTTGATAAATTCCTGAAGTACCCTATAAAAATTTTGTTAGGAGATTTCAATGTCAAAGTTGGGAGGGAAGACTTTTCAAACCAACAATTGGGAATGAGAGTTTGCATGAAATTAGTAATGATAATGGAGTTAGAGTAGTAAACTTTGCCACATCAAAAAATCTTACTGTCAAAAGTACAATGTTCCCACATCGTAACATCCATAAATTTACTTGGACATCTCCTGATGGGAAGATACACAATCAAATAGACCATATTTTGATAGATAGGAGATGGCACTCAAGTATGCTTGATGTCCGATCATTCAGGGCAGCAGATTGTGATACTGACCACTACCTGGTGGTGGCAAAGGTTAAGGAAAGACTGGCAGTGAGCAAACAAACAACACACAGAGTTCATATGGAGAATTTCAATCTCAAGAAATTAAATGAGGTAGAGGGTAAAGAGCAGTATTGCGTTGAAATCTCAAATAGGTTCACAGCTTTGGAAAACTTTGAAACTGAGGTAGAGGTTAATAAAGCTTGGGAAACTATTAGAGAGAATATAAAAATGTCTGCCAATGAGAGTCTAGGTTATTGTGAACTGAAGAAGCATAAGCCATGGTTCGATGAAGGATGTTCAACATTATTAGGTCAAAGAAAGCAGGCCAAATTGCAGTGGTTACAGGATCCAAGTGAGTTAAATGGGGATAATTTGAACAATATAAGACGTGAAACTAGCAGGCATTTCAGGAACAAAAAGAGGGAATATCTGAAAGACAAAATTGATGAGCTTGCAATGAACAGTAAGAACAAGAACATTAGAGATCTGTATAAAGGAATACATTACTTTAAGAGGGGTTACCAGCCTAGCATTAACTCCATGAAGGATCAGAATGGTGATCTGCTTGCAGATTCCCACATTTCAAATAGGTGGAGGAACTACTTCTCTCAGTTATTGAATCTACATAGAGTCAGTGCTGTTAGGCAGTCAGAAATCCATACAGCTGAGCCGTTAATACCTGATCCTAGCCCTTTTGAGGTTGAAAGTGCTATTGCAAAATTGAAACGGTATAAATCGCCAGGTAGTGATCAAATTCCGGCAGAACTTATTCAAGCAGGAGGAGAAATATTACGTTCTAAGATCCACAATCTAATTACTTTTATTTGGCATATGGAAAAATTGCCTGATCAGTGGAAGGAGTCTATTATTGTACCAGTTCACAAGAAGGGTGATAAAACTAACTGTAGAAATTATCGGGGGATATCACTGCTATAAACTTCATACAAAATTTTGTCCAATATTTTTCTTTCAAGGTTAAGTCCATATATAGATTAAGTTATTGGGGATCATCAGTGTGGGTTTCGACATAAGAGATCAAATAAAGATAAGATCTTTTGCATTTGTCAGATATTGGAGAAAAAATGGGAGTATGATGAGACAGTACATCAACTATTCATAGACCTCAAGAAAGCCTATGATTCAGTTAGGAGGGAAGTAATGTACAATATTCTAATAGAGTTCGGGATACCCATGAAACTAGTTAGGTTGATTAAAATGTGTTTAAACGAAACGTGTAGTAAAGTCCATGTAGGTAAACATTTGTCTGATAAATTTCCTATCCAGAATGGTCTAAAACAAGGAGATGCTTTATCGCCACTCGTTTTCAAGTTTGCTTTAGAATATGCCATCAGGAAGGTCCAGGGAAACCAGGTGGGACTGAAATTAAATGGGACACATTAGCTGTTGGTCTATGCCGATGATGTGAATCTACTGGATGATAATGTAGATACCATAATGAAGCGTGGGATCCTTCAGGGTCCGTATAGGTTCTCATGATCACAGGATAAGATGAGCAGAGGATGACAAAGAGATAAGCAAGGCGGAAATACCCAAAAACAAATAACCAAATCAACTAACAACAAAGAATAAATATAATATATAAATAAAGAAGGAATACAAAACATGATGCAAAATAATTGCAGAGTTCGCTTTTCTGAATTTGAATGCCATGTAGAGAAATAAATGTGGACAGTCGAGGATGGCCTCGACCTGTGATCCGAAATGGAAACAACCTACCCCTTCGACGGTTGGGAAGTCAAGCGCCCTTAGCTCCACTCCATAGGCCGCTAAGCCGGCTCGGCAAAGAAGGAGAGAGGGGGAAAGACAGTAGAGGGGAGAAGTGCGCACACACACCACGGACATGAGCCGATGTCACAATAAAGAAAAACACACAAACTTTAATTGACGCAAGGAAAGAGGTCAGTCTAGAAGTAAACACAGAGAAAACTAAGTATATGTTACTGTCTCGTCACCAAAATGCAGGACAAAATCATGACATAAAGAAAGGAAACATATGTTTTGAGAATGTGGCACAGTTCAGATATTTGGGAACAACGTTAACAGATAACCTGATTCAGGAGGAAATTAAGAGGTGACTGAATTTGGGTAATCCTTGCTATCATTCAGTCCAGAACCTTTTGTCTTCTAGTCTGTTGTCCAAAAACATAAAAATTAGAATATATAAAACTATAATCTTGCCTGTTGTTCTGTATGGGTGTGAAACTTGGTCTCTGACATTGAGGGAGGAACATAGAATGAGGGTGTTTGAGAATAGGGTGTTGAGGAGAATATTTGGACCGAAGAGAGATGAAGTGACAGGAGGTTGGAGAAAACTGCATTATGAGAAGCTTCATAACTTGTACTCTTCTCCAAGTATAATTAGAATGATCAAGTCAAGAAGGATGAGGTGGGCAGGTCATGTAGCACGAATGGGGTGTGTGAGGAATGCGTATAGGATACTGGTGGGAAAGCCAGAAGGAAAGAGACCACAGAGAAAACCAAGGTGTAGGTGGGTGGACAATATTAGAATGGATCTTAGAGAGACAGGATGGGATGCTATCGATTGGACAGCTCTGGCTCAGGATCTCAGGATAGGGACCAGTGGAGGCCTCTTGTGAACACGGTAATGGGCCTTCAGGTTCCATAAAATGCTGGGAAATTCTTGAGTAGCTGAAGAATTGGCAGCTCTTCCAGAAGGGCTCAGCTCCATGAGTAAGTAAGTAAGTAAGTAAGAATGTCTTAGAATGTAATCCCACATACAATGCAATTCCACCGTATACCAGAACGAAATTCCTTGCAGTGATAAAAGTACACATGAAAATTTTTGTTTTGTGTGGATTTTATTTTGTTTCTCTATCTCTCTCTCTTTAAGGTCTGAATGCCACCAGTGTTGGACAGGACAGGGCTGGTGTCATCCCCCTGTGAACACAAGTTAACAGCCTTCTGGTTCCCCAGAAGGTGGAGAATTTCTCAACTAGATGAGCAACATTTAAATTCTTATTTAAAGAAACTTGGAAATAAAAAAAAAATGAAATCCAGATGAATGCAGCCCACATCATCACACCTTATTTCCTATTTTAATATTTTTTTCTTATCTATGCAAGGTCTTCCATGTTGTGTCTTCCACCATAAACTCTGTATGTATTTCTCATCACGACTATTCATGTTTCATGCCCTGCCCATTAAATCCTCCATTTTATTATACTAATATCTGGTGATTGGTATAAATACTGATTCTCATTATGCAATTTCTACCAGTCTCCTTTTACTTCCTCCTTTTTATGTAGAAATACTCCCTTCAGGAAAAGTCTCAAATACCCTTAATCTGTGTTCTTCCATACATGTGAGAGGCAAGTTTTACATCCAAACAAAACAAGAAAAATTATGTCTGTGAATTTCAACCTTTATACTCGTATTTTCAAATACAGACAGGAACATTGAAAAGTAAATGGTAGCAAAGATCCCCTGAATTTAATCTGATCTTAATTTCTTTGCAAACGTTACTGCAACCTGTTATTGACACTTGAAGAATTTATTAATTAACTTTACATTA